AGAAACATATTATTATCTGCATCATCAGCATATGAAACATGGTTTTAATATTTTCGTCAGAACAAAGGTAACATTCAATCTGTAATTGCATTTTTTCACGTTGTCCCCTTATTAATCCATTGTACTAAGAAACTGAGCATTATAAAAAGCTCTAAAGAACCCAAAGACTCTCGATGTTTGAAAACAGGCAACTTCAAATGCGTCTAATTCGCCAATGTTGGACTGTGACCGATTTTACACTGACATTCTGTGAAACTGTTTTCTCCGAGATAATCGAATGAATATCGTGCCATCACAGCAAGGGAGAAACAGCTGATTTTTGAGCTTAAAAATCGGTTTAAATCGAAAATACCCCAAAATCGTTAAACTCGCCAGAAATTGGAAAAATCACTGAATCACAATTGGTGTTATTTATTAATAGAAGAGAATTCAACGTTATCTGCTGATCGTTTATTTCGCGTCATCAAATGAGCAAAAAATAACACAAATATAAAATAACCAGTCGGCTAGTCGAGCGGTTGGAGTGTCCAGTTAAACTAAAAGATTTCTCATTCAATTCTCTACAAAAATATATTGACAATGTCGTTTGAGATTTAGAAAATAAAAACTGTTAAAAGAAGTATTATAAAAGCCCAAATTCAATAGCTTTCGAACTCGAAAAACTATTTTATCGATTTTACCCTTTCAACAAATTTTGTATAACTCGGTCAAAATCAAACATTTTGACATCGGGACTGTTTCCTTTTGAAGCAAAACGATAGCTCGTTCTTGTCTATCCATCGTCATATTTTATTTCATATTGGACTGAAACAACTCATTTAAAAACTTTAAAGAATCAAGTAAAGATTATTTTGGTAGTGGAACATTTTTTAAATAAAAATATTAATGTTCTTCATTTCTTCAATGTTTGTGACTTCAAACATCGTGAAATATGGTAAAGCAAGGACTTCTTCTTCGACTGGATATTCAGATATACACAAAATATTATCGGAAATTTTGCCAAGATCAACTGCAAATGGATATCGATATGACTCTGGAAGCTCTAGTACAAACAAGGTCTTCCGTTTGTCTGAGTCATTTTCGTTAGCGAAATGTTCGGCAATTGATCGATCAGCGGATGTAGACATGAATGTTTTTGTGTCTAACAGACGTTCTGAATGTTCCATTGCCCATTTATAGGCTCGCCAATTTTCTTCGCGCATCGCGAGATCACGATATGAAAGACCTTGGAATGGACCTAAGTAATCATTCTATCGGTGTACGAAACTAGAGACTTGGAAGTATTTGACCCAACAAAATAGTGACTGAAAAAAACTCTATACCGATACCGATAGGCGCTGCTGCAAAATGACAGTTTTCGTATGGTACTGGTGTGCACGGCGCTGTAAGCGATTGTTCGTTAAAGGCCACGTCCCCATCAGAAATCTATCTCTGAAACTATAAGTACGACCTTGACCAAACGTTTAGGAGATGTTGATCTTGTGAAAGTGTGCTCTAGCCACATGCATTTCTGTCAATTTAAGACCAGCCCGAGTTCTCCACAACCTTTTTGTTACTAAGAAATTTTGCAGCTACGAATAGCTTTATTTCGGTCACTGCTGTGGCAACATCTCATAAACCATGCGCGATGAAGCCAAACAAAACATTTCGTCAGGCTGATAGAGCCGAATTTTTGATATTTTACTTTTCAGTTTAATGGTGAGTGTCGAAAATCCAAAATTCGAAAAACTCGCATTAACTTGCATAAAGATAGTTTTTCAACAACACACCTACGACTTTAGACTCTAGCCCCATGTGTCAGCTTCAATTTAAGACCTTCCCTAGCGCTCTGCGATGTTTCGTTAACGAGAATGGTTGGAGCTACGAAATGGTGTTAAGATGAAAGTCGCTTTCGAGATATGATAGCGCCAGTATCTGATGCATGTTTTAGGGCTTTCGGTAAAACTCTCATAACTCTTGATCAGAATATCATTCAGGGCTGGGAGATATTTTATTTTGATCAGAAATGTTTATTCTCTTTCCTGTGTTATTGAAAATATTTCTGGATTTGTTTTTTTTATCGGAAAGTAAAATTTTTTCGACAAATCAGCTTTTCAAGGTTTACAGAAAACTTTTCTAAAAACCTCCGTATCCCTTCGATGAGGGCCAAATAACATTGGATCCTGATAGTAGATAGTGGACTATCTGATGATGTGCTTAGCTCAATAGCGGCTTTTTATAAAAAAATTATATATTTTTAACGGGGGGCGGGAGGTCTTAAAGGAATACGTATTTTTGAAAGTTTGTCACGTTGCGTTAAAAAAAATTTTTTTGTTATTTCTAATACTTGAAAATTTTTGATCATATCCAAACTTGATTTTTTCGAACCGAAAACTTTACCGTAGGTGCCTCGGGCGATACATCAGAACAGAAAATTTGTTTTCATTCTAATTTTTTCTTTGTGAGTTACAGAATTTTCAAAATTAAGATTTTATTTTGAGTTTTATTGTTTTTTTCTAAGAAAGAAACAAAACTCAGAGAAGAGCATACCAAATATTTCTATCCTGAGATACCGTCTGTTCTGGCTATGGATAACTTTACAGCCCGATGGTTTGAACCTTCCATTGAATCATAATGGATACAATACCAATTAGGTGTAATAGCAATCCTTAAACAAATCTGACACCAAGTTCTGAGCAGAAAAAATACACCGATTCTCGTTGATTAACCGTTTCGTCGACCGACATTATACTTTTGCCGTCGTCAGCCAGGTAAAGAGGCTGCTAAATTTAATTGTACTTTTATTTGCACAAGAAAAGTCGTTAAATCGGTCCTTGTGATTTTTATTGTGATTTTTATTTGCAGAGCGTTTCGAAATGTAGTTAGATTATTACAAGTAATAATCATTAAAGCGTACGTTATCAGCTGCGCCTCTTCAATAATCCAACAATTGTATACTGTATGGAGTAAATATTTATGTATAAGTAGATGAAAAGTATTCTATATTGAGCTTTTTGCTGATTATTTCAAGAAAAATTAAAATATTTTTCATTCAAAATTTGTTGCAGTGTAAAGCTGCCCTTCAACAGAATTATGTTTTTTCTTATAGGAAACACGAAAAATGGGCAGAAAATAGGGTGAACAATCTCCAGACGCGAATAAGTGAACACCTTTCTAATAGAAAATTTTCACCGAATATATAACAGATTGATCAGGACAATCTTAATGTAATATTTGCCACACAAACAACATTTAAAGATAAAAATACATCAGCAGCTAGAAACAAATCAGCTATAATAAAAACATTTTGAAAAAACTGTACATATACTCGCTGAGTTAGTTTTTCGTCAACTATTGGTCGAACAGTATTAAAATAGATTTCTGATTAAAGAGTCGTTTCTAATTCTTGATCGAGCTCTTAGTGTCAACGGCACAGACAAATTAGTACCCTGTATTAAATTAACTATAGACCAGTGTTTATTTCGGTATTATTCAGTAGTTGAAAAACGTTTAAATAACGATGCAAAATGATGTGAAAGACGCTTGTCTTCAATTAAATGATCAGATAATGCTTGTACTTCTAAAGCCAGACAACATCAGCTTTTTCATTCGTAATACTAAAAATCATCTTATCTTTTTCTTTTTATTCAACTCATCGAAAAAGTTTTCTGTTACGTGAAAATTCAAATGTTAAAATCAAGAACGGATAGGTAAGCAGCCTAAGCCGTTAAAACTGCGTTACATGTTTTCATCTTTTTACAAGCTCTTTCTCCATCGTAAAATGTACAAATTCGTTAGTTTTTCGAGTGCATTTACATTCGTTAGAGAAGAGCAATTGCTTCAGCTGAAATTCGATTGCTCGCGTTCAGAAAATATGCACGCATAATGAACTCGTTATTATCTCTTCGAGCCATATTTAACGACCTCTGGCCCGTGCTTTCTCTGAAGAAACGTTGTCACGCACTATATTTGTAAATTTAACTCAATCAGACGCATTTTTTCTGAGAACACAGGTTCTGCTGTGAATATCATTCATCGTTGTCCCGATGAAGAAGAGGTATAGATACCATCACATATCTCCTTCATCATCGAAAAGTCGAATTTGACGCTAGAAAATAAAAACAATATTTATTTAAGTATGAGTTAAAAATTAAATGTGGGATGAATCATAGGCAAAGAACGTCGCCACTCGTTGGTTTTGAACGGTAGACTACAGAATACGTTGATAATTATTTTGATTCAGTAGCTTATCTGTACCTGATCTTCGTCAAAATGGAAGACTAATATTTTTTGCTAAGTAAAATTTGTATCTGCTTAGTAAATGATTTGAATGTTTAATAAAATTATTGGATGCACAATTAATTTAATTTTTCTCAACAATTAAAATTTTTGCTAAGTTTGATAAGTACATTGAGGGCCCAAAAAAGCATGATCGTTTTTGTTTTCTCTGTATATCGTATGTTCTGTATGATATCAAAGAACGAGAAAGAAAGAAATGAATCATACTGTAGAAATATTGAATAAAACACTATATGCTTTTTTGGGCTCTCAGTGTAATGTACAAGTAAAATATTTAATCAAAAAGTTAATAAATTGAAAAATGTGTTTTAAGGTGAGTAATTTAAATATACATAATATTCTGCTTAGAAAATAAAATATTTTATTTAGAATTTAAATAAAATATTTTTCGCAAAAGAACATCATCTGCCAAACAATTTCAAAAGAATTAGCATTAGTAAGGAAACTAACGCACTCTTTGTGCGAAGAGCAGAGTTAATTTTTATTTTGTAAATCCGATACGGTTTTTCGACTTGATTAACACCATTGTTCAAACCCGGAACGCGATTGAATTGCGACATTGGGATGTATAAAAATCCGTCACTGCTTACTTCCGAGGCGTCACCCCAAATGATGCGCTCATCGCGTACAATCAGACTTAAAGATCCATCCGGTTTTTGTCGCCACACCGCGCGTCGCTCCAGATCCATCAGGTATATGTTCCCCTCATTGTCCATTGTCGTGCCGCCTGTCGGCATTGTTTCACTGCCTTTTATGACACGATCTTCAAGCTGTGTTTCGGTCAAACTTTCATTCGTCAAATCGGCAACGGATATTTTCCACCAATTGTAACTGAATGGTGGTTTGTACAACAACGTTTTCTCATCGGGTGTGAGCTCCAACTGATTATTCTGCATCGTTTTCGGTTCGCCTTTCTCATCTAAAAGCTTGCGTCCTTCGAGTCGGACAACCGTCGGCGCATCGAACTTTGTTGACGGATGTTTATCCAAAACTCGGCGTACTTCGCCACTTTGCAAATTAATTATAACGATTGAACCAATTCCCGATTCGGTTAAAAAAGCGTACTGCGAGCCGATTCGCACGTCGTTCAGCGCAAAGCCTTCTGGAGGATTGAGACTTGAAACCGAATAAATGCGTTCGACCATATTGTTTTGAAGATTGATTTTGATGAGTTTCGCGGCGTTCTGAATTGTTTTGTTGCCGATCATTCCGCTATCAACAACCCACAAATTGTCGTTTATGTCGGTCAGAACTGCATTGACATTAACGAAACGGTTCTCGGGATTTGCTGACGAATTTCTTGGATCAAAAGTGTTCCAGTCTCCTCCGGGTAAGGGTTTTATAACGTTCGTTGGCAGAATTTCAGCGACAGAAATTGTCGCATCACTAATCGCTCGTGGAAATGAGGCAAACATTCGTCCATTCTTCGTTAAAGCCACACCATTCCATTGATATTCCGGCGACGTAGCAACTTCGACAAGTTGATTTTGAGCATTGACGTATATAAAAATTAATAAACCGAATGCCGTTCGAAGTAGTAAATTCCTCAGCATGTTTTTGATTTGTCATGAATCTAAAACGTTTGTTTTGATGCGGTACAGAAATTTACCTACCAGTAAGTTTTACTCAAAGAGTTTCAGATCTGATGCTACAGAAACCTTTTCTCTTTTCGTTTTATGGTTAGAACTTGCGCGGGTTCAAGGCAATCCACTGGACACTTGATTCAAATTTTTGTAGCGCCCATGATTTTACCCAGGCTAAAAGACGGCTGATTAATGTTTGGAGTATACAGGATTAAAAGGAAGGAATCATTAACACCTTAAACTCCAAGTTTTAATTTTAAATTTTTTGGTAGATTCTTTACTCTTATGACTAAAACTTTGCACCTAAAAACCTAAAGTGTAATACTTTCTGCTGTTAGCCGGCTCATCTTACAAGATGACACAAGATCTATCGTCTTCTTATGAAACCTTCTGACCAGATTTCCCTGCAAAATCCTACAAAAACTTGTCTCAGGCTAGTGAACGATCTTGCAGCTTCTTGTCATAAGATCTCACATTATGAACTCATAAGAAATCACAAGACCTTGTATCAAATAATCTTAAGTTTTTGCCAGATCTTGTCCCCCTCCCCTCTTCAGAAACGAATTTTTTAATAAAAAGCCGCTGTTGAGCTAAGCACATCATCAGATAGTCCACGGTTATTAACAAGTTTTGAAACTTTTCCACCACTTTTAAAACAAAATTTTGATGCTCGATTTGTGGAAAATTGAATTCTCTATCGCATGTAATCTTCGAATTGTTAGCGAATTCTATTTGGGGAGTTGAAAGTGGTATTTTGTCGAAAATATGGATCCTTTTAAGTCTCAATTCTCCAACTAATATGAGTTTTAAACAGTCACTTCCTACTTCACAAAAATACAAGCGGACAGCATAACAGAACGGGTAAAAAATGGCGGAGTTATAATAAAAATATCAGAGATGGGTACTTTTCGCAAATTGACGATGGTGCTCATTTTGTAAATTCTATAACTCAGCCAGAATAAGTCAGAAAGTTTTTTTTATTTTTGATAACCCTAGTTTTGATAGTAGAATCCGAATATGAAATAAAAAACTATATGTCAATTTTTCTCTCGTGACCGGTCTTTGACAAGATACTCGATCGACTGGCGAAGTCCCTCTTAAATGTTGTTTGTATGGCAAGTATCACATTAAGATTGTCCTGATCAATCTGTTTTATATTCGGTGAAAGTTTTCCAGTTTTAGATCTGGTTATCAGACCTGAAGAAGTCACCGAGTTTTTTGCCAGGTTAAATTGTTCAGAGATATTGGTTGATAATTTTTGAGCATTTGTGTTTGTTTCGGAAAAAAGTGACTTTTTTAATATCGGAAAGATGCTCACTTATTCGTGTCTGAAGATGTCGAGATGTATTCTCAATATTTCTCTACACCGTGTACAAGTAGCTTCCTGTACTAAACTGGATCACAGTTCTGTTAGAATTGGATCTTTCGTCCTGAAACCATATCCATTCTACTATAGAAACAGAGCTCACTTTATCTAATTGTTTTCTAATAATGGAATGTACGAATCAGCTTCTAAACTAATTATATTTCTGTTCTATGCAAGATTCTGTGGGACAGCATAAGACACATAATCTTGCAAAATCTGATGAAATCTTATATGATCGTATGAAACTTTGTAAGATCTTGCACTTCTTGCACGATCATACAAGATCTTATGAAATCTTGTTGTAAGAAAAACGTGTAAAATTTTATAAGATTCTTGAGCTATGCTTCTTGTATTATCTTATAATATGATCTTATAAAGTCATATATCATGATTTTTCGCCTTGGATATAAGTCGGAAACAGCTTAGAGGTGGAATTTCAATCTAACTTCTTTTGATATGTACTCAGCTGAAAAAGTATATATGATTAAAAGGGATTAGTTTCTAACGCATGCCATTACGTTCGTTTTAAGTGTTTCTAATACTACCTAGGACCTTCTACTGATAGTTCTGCTTAAGATATCGTTTCATAGTGTACTTAATAACTTCATAATGTAGGATAAAATTCCTTTTGCTAGACGATGAACAAGTACAGGAGCGAGTGTATCCGTCTTTTTAAAGTGGGGG